TGGTGGTACGAAGGGGAAAAACCTCTACCCAACGAGTAAAATAATCGACGATAACAAGAAGATACTGTTTCTGCCGCTGTGTGGCGGGAAACGGTCCCATGAGATCCACTCCGATGGTATGCCAGGGTTCTTTGACGACGTGTAGTTGTAAAGGAGCGGAAAGAGGTTGATTATTGTATCTAAATTCCTGACAGGAAGCACAAGCTTGAATATGGGTATAAACATCCTTCCGCATCGAGGGCCAATACACTCGAGAAAGTAAACGGTAAAGAGTTGTATAGCGATCAGCATGGCCAGCAGCTGGATGGCCATGAGCCACAGAAGAATGATAGCTTGGAGGGACTTGGGGATAACCAGTAGATGTTGACCCGTAAGCGAGCGAGATTCGAAGACAGAGGAAGAGTGTTTACGACTCTTATATAAGAGACCGTTAATCACTCGATACTGAGAAGCTTGTTTGATGAAACACTTATGAGAAAGAACCCACTGTGGCACTGTATGATTAGTCAGATAGTCAATAAGTAAGTCTAAGTGGGGGTCCTCCCGTTTGTGTGCTTAAATGTCCTGGAGTAGACTACAGCCTTCCCAGAGATTGACGGCGGAATCTAAAAGATTGATTTGATGCTGAGAATCTGGCTGTGAGAACGGGTGAAAACCGGGATATCGAGATAACGCATTAGCATTTTCATTCGTTTTGCCAGAGCGATATTCGATAGTAAGGTCGAAAGCATCGAGTTTCAAGGCCCAATAAGCTAAACGTCCTATAGAGAGTCTTTGGAGTTTTTTAACCACTGGAGTGCTTTGCAGTCGGAGCAGACAGTGACATGAACTCCTTCAATATATGGTCGGAAATGCTTGGTAGTCCAGATAATCGCTAGAGCTTCCTTTTCCGTTGCTCCATATTTGCGTTCAGCAGGGGTCAACGTGCGACTCGCATAAGGGATTACATACTTATGTTGCTCGTACTCCTGAACCAAGATTGCTCCCAGACCGTAATCGCAGACATCCACTTCAAGAATAAAGAGATGGCAAAAATTAGGCACATTCATAATCGGGGCATTTGTAAGCTTATCTTTAAGAAGATAAAAAGCAGCTTGACAGTCAGAGTCCCAGGAGAAGGAACGAGAGGGATTTTTACGAAGTTGGACGAGAAGAGGCTCAGCTATTTTGACGTAATTTTTAATGAAACGTCTGTAATAACCCGTTAATCCCAAAAAGGACTGCAGGTCCTTGATCTTTTGAGGACGAAAAAGTTAAACCGCGGAAACGAGTGATGGATCAGGTTTTATTCCGTCAGGGGCAATGAGATGTCCTAGATATTTCAGTTCTTTGCGACAAAACTCACATTTGATAGGATATGCATCCTTTACAGTAAGCACATTAAGTTTGCGATAGTCCACACAAAAACGGAGAGTACCATCCTTTTTGGGGGCAAGAACCACGGGAGCAGCCCATGGTCTAGACGACGATGAGATGACATCATCGTGTAACATGTCGTCAATTGCAGTTGATGCATGAGCTTGTTTAAGTGGAGCCATGAGATAAGGCTGGGAGTTGGTAGGTTTTGCACCAGGATGTGTCTGAATTTGGTACCGAATGACATGAATACGGCCGTGGCGGTTGGTAAAGACTGTCGGGAAATGTTGAATTAATTGCTTAAGTTGATGGCGCTGAGAAGATGTTAGGTCGGTGTGTGTAAGATCAGGGACATTATCAGGTTTGACTTGAGGTGTAATAGTACAAGAAGTTTGCGCTAGAATTCCAAGCTGAGCATGATTACAACGTTCCATAGTGGCTAGCTTCTGGCTGGGACTGATCGAAAGTGTAGCAGTGGAAAAGTTGGCCACACTGACCATGAGATCTCGTGAAGGGTGTATTATGCCGTTTGCCACTCGACGAGAGAGGTGAATAGAGGTGATAAAGTAGGTTTCGTCCGCAGTAAAGGTAGAAAAAGATTTATGGGGTTTAGCCGCGATGAGCATGGTATGAAATGGCGAGATACGAGCTGATTGGGCTGCTAAAAGTGTGTAGGTGGCCAAGTTGGAAGTGGATAGTGTAGAGGGTGGGACGGAAGAAGCTGGAATCTTGGTAGGAGATGGGAGTGGGGTATCCGAAAGGGTGTGTATTTGATTTTGAAATGGATTTATGACCATTTTATATTTGTGAAAAAAGTCGAGACCTAAGACATAAAAATGTTGCAAACCCGGGATAACATATACTGAATGGTAATAGGTATCGCCATTGAGATTAAGGGTAACCCTATAAGCACCCTTAGACGAGATAGGAGACCCGTTGGCGAGTCGAACAGTGATAGGACAGACACGTTGAGGAGGACCGAGTGCATGAGGTTCGAGAAGTTCCCGGGCCTTATCACTGATTAGGGTTAAGGTAGATACGGTATCTATGGTGAAAGTAGAATGATAATCATTAATCTGACCCAGAATTTGAAAGAAGACTCTGGGAAGTAGAAGTACGAACAATGCCAATTGAATGCAAGGCATCAGTGGAGGATTTATGATTCATGGAGACTGTGGGGGCATTCCACCTCTTACTAGAGGGACCCCGTATCAGTTTTTCGATATGGTGACTGAGGGTGAGAACGGCAGTGATAAGAGTAATGGTCAGGTTTTTTACAGTTATAACATATCACATCCGTGGTACGTCGAGTTACAGATGCAGGAAAAGGATCGGACACAGTCACAGAGGTAGCCGGTGCAGCACTCCGATTCAGCGTACGTTGTTGTTGCATGGAAAAAATGATCTTTTCGGCAGAGCGAGCTTTATCCATGAACTGATTAAGTGTAGGATGCTCGAGTATACCCATAAAGGTTGCTAGATCTGGGCGCATTTTTGCGTAAAGATGTCTAATTAAATCATGCTCAGTCTCAGTCGGTTTTTCCTCATGCCAGATCCCCCGTAAACGAACCAAAAATTGACTAATAGGCTCATCGGAACGTTGAACACAGTGATTCCATTGCTGTTCGGTTTGGGCAAGACGAAGAAGGGAAGTTTTTCGATGAAAAGGTGTTGGAACTCCGACCAAGTAGTGGGAAGGATATGGGTAAGGGAGAGTTGAGTGTACCAGTCTAAAGCGGTAGCTTGTAAAAAGGTAGAAACACCCTGCAGTAATACAGTATCAGTCCAGCCGTACATGCTTGAAGCAAAGTGCTGAAGACGAAGTAAAAACTGGAGAGATTTTTCAGAAGGTGTACCAGAATATTGAGGAATGGTAGTAGGTGCCGGAATAATAACAGTCTGATGTGCCGGGCGCATTTGGGACGGTACATCAGCGGAAGAAACAGGCTGATTTATTTGTATAGCTGAAGAGGGATTGGTAGAAAGGCTTTCCGGTTTTGTGGACGGAAGATGAATAGCGGTTGGAGAACCGGCGCGAATTGGGGGAGGATTGCGTAGATGCGCATTAGACGACATCGGCCGTCGCAGGTCAAGAAGTGAATCCTCGAAATTTCGGGAAAGAGTTTCTAACCGGTTTTGAATATCCAAGGAAGTATCGTCTAACTTCAATTGTAAGGAATGGTTTGCATGCTGAAGCAGAGCAGTTTCATTATCGGTATGCTGGTGTGAACGGTCAATTTTGTCATTTAGTTCCTGCATGAGTACCATCTGAGAACGATGACTATCATAAAGCGTTTGAAGATGGTCCTGGATAGACCTTTCGCAGGTGAATAAATTAGGAAATTCAGCCATGATAAAAACCAATGTGACTTACCAGACAATATGAAGAAAGATAGAAAGAAAAAAAAAAGAAGAGTTTTGCAGGAGAACAGAAGGTTCGGCAAGACGAGATCGCCAAGTGTGAGGAACCTATATTTCTTCTAATTATAAGTCCTTGAGTTGATTGTATGCGTGCGTTAAGATATGTAGTATTACTCTTTTATTCGACTACTCTTT